GCCAGGTGAGAAGGTCGTTTTCATCCATGTTTGGAAAACCGAGCGTGACCGGTCGCCATTTCAGAAGCCAGGAATTGGGTACCAGCCAAGACGAGCCAGAAACTCCCCTGTGCGCAGCACAGCTGAGGTCAGTCAGCCAAGAGGCGTTTCCCTTTCGCGAGCAGGTGAAATCATTCATTTCTTGACCTTTTCTGTGTCGCTATACCACCAACAGCGCTATACGGACAAAACGATTGCTATAGCCTCGGCAATAGAACAAAGAGACAAACGCTAAGTAGGCGGGTCAGTGGTGCCCGCGCATACTTAGAAGTGGCGTTTTTCAATGTACAGACTGTTTTATACTTAGCGGAAATATCGGAGCGCCTGACATTGCGAATGAGACTAGCGCTGCAATCGCGCGCCGACAGCATGCAGCTCATGCGTGTGCGTGCGCAGACGCTTCAAGGGTGAAGGGTTGAACCACGTCGTCTGCTACAGCAGGGCACGTGCCGCATTGTCGGCCAGCGCACGGATATCATCGTTAAGGCGGGAACAGGGCCGACACTCTGCACTAACCATTTTAGGAAAAATTTTCGCCGCAAGAAAGGGCACGAATAAACGAGGAATGACAACCTCGCGCATGCTTTCTTTCTTCGTGTCCCGTCTCGCTGCGCAGTTTATTCAGATGTTCCCGTACCAACCAGCCAAACTTTCAACGCTTGTCTCCACTAAACCTTGTGAAATCTCAATCTCTAAGGCTTTATTAGTGATAATGGGGCCCTAAAAACAGTATTTGACAGCCTACCTTGTTTGCTCTATCAAAAAATGGTCACAATGTGTGCGTTCACGAGTGTTTCTTTATTGCGTGCGCGCCGCAGTAAGCTTAGATGGGGAATACACGATAATGAGCATGTATTGTGCGAAGTCTCCATTTGACTTTAAATAAAAGAAGCACTTAGTGGTGACTGCTGAGCAGTCGAGCGAGTTTAACTGAACAAAACGAATGGTAATAAAATCAGGAATGAAATAGGATAGAACAACCAACTGAACGTGCTTATTCTCGACGATATTTGATCACAACAAAAAGAACTAACTCCCGGTGCCGAAATGCACTAGTGACGCTTCCAAGTCCATGTCCCCAGTGCATGGTAGCGATGGCAGCGCTCTTTCTAGACGGCAGTGAATACTTGGTGTCAGAGATGTGTTTTGCCGCAGCATGTACAGTTCGTTGACGATGCGCGTGTGGGATCATCAGATCCAGAATGAGCTGAATAAAACAAGGGCTAGTCCACTGTACTTTTTCTTTTTTTTTCTGCTCTGAAAAGAACTGCATTGTGCTGGTTGACTGGTTTAGCATGTCCCCTGTATCAGAAAAAGGGCGTATTAAGAATACTGAACTCTGTTGTAAAATGTACACTACATTTCGAAGCCGGTTAGCAAGTGTGGTGCCAATGATATGTCTTCGCAAAGAGACGATCAGGCCTTGCGGCACTTACAGATTCCTCAATTTATGTCCATTGGTTTTATCATGTTAAGTCAGCACAGCAACACGACTCTTACTGTTGAGTGCTTCTTTTTTAATTCCAAGTGAAAGAAAAACAATGCACTTTGCATGCTAATTTTAATGTCTTCCTCGTCGAAGTGCACTGCGTTGCACATACATTGAATAAATATTCATTAACGCACACAACATATTGGCGTTTTGAGAGCGCAAACAAGGTATGCTCAGGGGCGGATTATTCAGGGTTCACAGGGTTCAAGCAAACTGGGCCCTCCGGTTTTAGCCCCTCCAAGGGCCAGAGAAAATGGCCGACTTCGTTATTTTCCGGCTGAATTCCCCTGATAGAAACAGATAATATATGTGAATTATCAACATACATGAGTCCTGAAATAAGGTTCGGGGAGAATTGTTAGTCGTGTATGTGAGAGACGCTGCCTAGGATTGCAAGGAATAGGACGCAAGTAACACGACCCACAAACATGTACTCAAACACACAAAAAAGCAAACAGCACGAGAAGAAAGCACAGTAAGCAATATAAAATAGCAAAGTCCCTTCAGAATTCAATCAGTTCCAACAAACGACGCGCTCACACGTTTGGGAACCGACGAAGCAACTGCGGCAGCGTCAATGCTGTCGGACGAGAAGGGCCAGGGTTGTCGCAGATGCTGTGTCCTCTGGGCGCCTGATCAGAAGACGGGCCGTGTGCGGAGTCCTACGGACATTGACGTCCGATGCAGGTATCTCCCGACAATGTTGGGCTCCAGAACATTGACATCCGACCAGGCCAACGCGTCTTCTTCACTCCAGGGTCTGGTTCCGTCCGTTCGGTCAACGTGGCTTGTTCCTCTGTTTTTGTTGTGTGCGTGGCACGCGGGAACGTGCAGGGAGGCTACGTTCAAGATGGGCGCACCACTTATTCCATTGAGCGTGCTCTCGCGTTTCGACGCCGCTTCGTCGTATTCTCAGCCATTTCAGGGCATCTCATCACAACATGCTTATAAGAGTTGGTTCGTTGCATAACGTGCGTAATATTATAGTTAGCTCACAGTTTTGGAGTCTGCAGTAAAAACCTTTTACTCGCCCAAAACCATGCTTCGTGTGGAGGGAAGGGGCTGATCCAGAGGATAGGCACGCTGAGCAGCCTGAAGAGAATTTTAGCAGCTGTGGTCCAACACGCACTGCGAAGGCGTATATGGAGTGTTTCTTGTTTGAAATATTGTTGAATGTGCTCAAACCCTACGAAAGTGAATATTGCCTTAAAAAATGCAACCCTATTACAAATTTAAAAGCAAAAATTTGTTCATTAATAGAAATATGCGTGGTCGTTTTTCGAGTAGCATTGAAAAGTTTTTGTGCAAGTTCTACATGGATCTCACTTTTTATAGGTCACCTTTTCCAAAAATTTAAACCTAAAACTTCCCATACCTGAATTATTTTATGTTGATTGATTGATTGATTGATATGTTGAGTTTAATGTCCCAAAACCACCATATGATTATGAGGGACACCGTAGTAGAGGGCTCCGGAATCATTTTAATTTTAAACTATCTAGTACTTGTACTGGTCAGTGGGCATATACATGATGCATATTGTATATGCATATTGTAATGCTGCCTATAACTATATCTAAATGCTACCTTAGAAGAGCAGAGATGTGTGTTGTTGTATGAAATAAAAACTAGCTAGACGATTGGTAGCCTATTTACGAAAAGTATACATGTGGAGAGTTTCTGAAAAAGACCCACCTGTCAACTTCGACTCTGCTCCCACGCAGGCAACCGAAGGGTGCGCTACCAGATCAGTGAAGCCGAAGCAGATAGAAGAAGCTATTTTTCAGAATGGCGCTCCCTGATTTTCCAGAGATGTCCTCTCTTGAAATAAGGGTAAACAACTCTATAGGTTAAGACGAACGAAAAAAAAAACACAAACGGCGCTTGGAGTGCACTTCTTAGTGTCGTATGCATTCCTTTGTTTTCGTCTTAACTTGTAGCACAGTTTAATCTTCTTTCAGGATGATCCAACGAACCAGAGAAATTTTAATGCTTTTCATGTGTCTTCGTTTCCTGATATAGTTAATTATTACGATGATAATCTCTCCATGTGCTCTGCAGCAAAGAAAATGGCCAGGTAATGTAAACACTCCGGGGAGGCTTAGAATAAATATCGATTGTGTTATTTGCAGCTAAATTTAAAAAAAATTAAAAAAGCATCAAGGCTCTAGCACGAACAGATGACAAAGCGGGAAAGAATGGAGGCCGGGAGAAGAGGAGGGGCCTCCTCTATTTTTTTGAACCATGTCCTCCACACTGTTAATCCGGCCTTGGGTATGCTGTCACATTATGCTTGTAGAACCCCATTATCCCAAATAAAAGCTGTGAGGTAGTGCTGATTATCGGCCCAGTTCCTGCACTAACAATGATATCCGCGCACTGGCCAGCAATGCGGCAAAAAGAGCCACCATAGCAGAGCACGCGGTTCAAAACTGCATGCCTGAATCATCCGCGAACGTGCGAGCTGCTGACGGCGCGTGTTTGCAGCGCAGACCGCATCACAATTCCACGCGCTTCCACATGTCCTCCAGGTGTGAAACAGTCTGTATCTGCAGCTGTTACCCGTGCAGTACTGAGCCCAACTCTGCGGCGTTCTTGGCAAACGTGCTATTTGCTGTCCCACTGAAAGCTGGCCGCTCAGGATTGGGGGTAACCGGTAAACACACATTGCATTTCTGGTTCTTGTGTTCTTCTCAGCGTATTATTTCGTGTTTTTTTGTCCATGTACTCAAGTTTGGGTGCACGTTAAAAAACCCCAGGTGGTCAAAATTTCCGGAGCCCTCCACTACGGCGTCTATCATAATCATATGGTGGTTTTGGGACGTTAAACTCCGTAAATAAATCAATCATGAATATGACTTGTATGCCGAAAGAACTCCTGAAAACATATCAAAGCATGATGCACGCACAAAAACTGTGATTCCTGACAACGGTTTTGGTATTTACGCGTTTACCGGGTCAAAACACCAGGAGTCGCAGGACGACGAGACTAGACGACGTTGGTTGATGACGCCATGGAAACCAGGTCCTAACTGCAGCCTTCCTTCTGAAGCGCCAACTTAAGTTCCAACCTCACTGGAGAGAAAGGTTTTTCTGACTGGTGTATTCCAAATTTTAGGAAGGAGCTCTCTGCAATACATGCATATATTTTGGAAAAGAAAGTTCAGACAAGGAGACTCAGGAAGTTTTGGTGCATTGGTCCTCTTACGTTCGCCCGTTGGAGAACGCACTCGAAAATTTCAGAAATCACAAAGAGTGTGACTACTACAAGACCGCTGCTCTATTTATATATTAGACACTATTAAGTGCCAACCACTGGCACGCGTACGCCTGCGCCTACGCGTCAAAAGCGTCTAGTCGCGCCTATGGAGGAAAAGGGCGCGCAACCACTGGTACGCGTCGGCACTCGCGCCTGCTCGCGTCGCGCCTAGCTGACGCGCAGTGTTGCCAGAGTTTTTGATGTGAAACTGCCAAAGCATTGCCTGAAAAGATTGACTTTTCAAACATTTGTTACTCTTATTCAAGCCATGGAGGAGCTTTTTTAAATCAAAATAGTATATTTTATATTTGAATTGACACTTTTCCTAATTATTTAGACTGTTCATTAGAAATCAAGCCAATAGTGTCGACTGTATTCGCGTGTCATCCACATCAACATCAGCTCTTCGCGCCAATTGCTGTTCTTTCTCCGTGTGTGCTACTGTTGACGGGTGGACGTGTGTTTGACTGCTTCACGAAGCTTTCCTCGTGCGTTTCTCGCAACCATGCCTGCGGTGTCGGCAGTTTCCCGCAGGAATACAACAGTTTTCACTTCGACACTCGTGCTCCTCATGCTGCTCATAAAAAAGAGGAAGCAAGTACGCGAGCAGCGGCAGCCTCGCCGTTGGTGGATTCGCCCTGTTTTCTTGGCGCGTAAGCAAGAAGGCCTCTACCACACTGCGGTAAGTTCTTCAGCTCTTTCTTGACCTCGTTCAGTCTCATTTTAACGTGACGTCGTGCTGTTCGATCACTCCTGACTGAAATAAACAGCAATGACACCTATGACATAAAATGAAAGCAAAATAAATAAAGCCAATAATACGATATACCAATAAACATGCAAGGAAAACAAATAAACCAAGCAAGTGATGACCACGCCTTTGACAATAGAGCACTTATAATACGTATGTTGTATTCAAACCCCATGACCTCTTGAAGCGTTTTGTTTTAGTAGCAAGTGAGTGCACAGCCAATTGGGAAATGTTGCATGTATGCCCCAGCAAACTTCTATGCATTTACTCGTAGGGCATATTCAGCTATAAAATGAAAGCTGCAGAGAAAATTCCACCGAAGGAATACTGTATTATATCTGAAATTTCACATGTGCTTGAATGCTCGATCAGGGATTCGGCGTTAAGAGAGGTACATTGCTGGTTCCCGTTCATTTTTTTTTTCTCTGTAAGAATCTGTTCAATCACTGTAATCTGTTTTTGTTTTCAACAGATGAAACGGATGCGCGAAGGCGATCATGGATTTTTTTTTAAGTTCTATCGAATGACGCCAGCACTTTTTGATGTGCTGCTCAGATTCGTTGCTCTGGACCTGACAAAAATCCACGTGTCGAGGGAAACTCTCGAGCCTGGTGAACGGCTTGCAATAACCTTGAGGTTAGTGATATTGAGGTAAAACATGCCACATAGCATTAACTGAATGTAAGTGCCAAAAAAGATAGCTTTGAATCACTTTATTTTTTCATTGTTTCATGTTTATTGTTTCAGTTACCTTGCATCAGGGCAAGATATCCCCTCTGTTGCTCTGGCGTATCGAGTGGGAATCGAAACTGCCCGCTTGTGCATTCATGAAACGTGCGAAGCAATCTGGGAAAGGCTAAAAGATCATGTCATGAAGGTAAGCGGTTCGCAATTCCACTTTGATGTTGGTTACCTGGTAGGTAAGCCTGGAAGCAGCATGGATAGGTTCAGCCTTAAATTGAAGTGAGAACTCGTAATCGGAGAGGAGATGGCACATATTTTTTGATTGCTGCAATACATGTTCACCAAAGCTTGACTGACGGCAACTAGTGATGTAAAGAGAATTTCGTTGCGTTGAGGTATACGCATAGATTTGAGCCATCACGGTGGATAGACAGCAATGAATTGTTTCCCAATACAAGCAGGGAACGCATGATAGACCACAATATGCATTGCAAACTTATGCATCCAGAATAAATGCTCACTGCCACCCTGCTGGTTTCTTGAAACACTGCTGGTTTCTTGAAACACGACTCTTCTGCCCAAAGAGTAGGCCACTCTTTTGTGTATTTGTTACTTCTAATATCTTGCATGTGTTTAAAAAACCTGCAGGTACACTCATACCACTCACTGCACCTAACCTTTTGTAATACTTGGCTGCACTTCCCAACTCTTTGCATCCTTTTTTCGCAATCTAACATACCTTCTCACAATGTGATAAGCCCAGGCCCACTTTTTCTCTAAATTCCTGCCAGGATACCAGCAAGCTCTCCTTGCTCTGTGATCCACCAGGATGTAATGATGATGAAATGTGTAGTTGTACTAGTCGTGCGTTTTAAACGTTGTTACAAGACGTCTGTAAATTGAACTTATTTTACAGCATAATTCAATATTTTTCTTTCTTCTGTGTCTGTGTTTTTCTCTTTTTTTGCATAAGCACTGCAAATTCATCAGAGTTTCATATTCTAACTAGCCCAGCACAATGTTTAAGTTATTTTTTCTCAGCCATGAATTGTTGGGGAGCTTAGTGGACTCACCTGGATTCTCTCTGTGCATCCTCAGCTAAATTTTTCATCTATGCTTACACAAATACTGTAGCTGATAAGTGCAACATGTACATAGAAAAGGAGATCAGAAAACTGAAATCACCAGATGGGCAAAATGAGGTATTAGTCTAGTTGATTTCTGGACGATTCTAAACTGCAGTAAAATTACAAGGTTCACATGGTGTGAAGCACACGAGTGGTGTTGCGTCTTTCCTAACTTCATGCATCTTTTGTAATTTGGTGTACTGTACAACTTTAGTGCAGTAAATCACCAGATCGACTGCCTCTGTTTAATGAGGGACTCTTGTAATGAGAGAAAGAAAAGTGGCGAGAGTCGCATGACAGCAGTGTAAAGTACGTGGCTTTTATTCGAACGGATTCTGCTGAACACCGTTTTGAAAATCATTGCTTCTAATAATGTGCTCTCTGCATATTTGTTTTGTTGCATTATAGGTTCTTTCTTGTTAAAGTACGACATTTTTTGTTTGTACTTCCAGACACCTACCAAAGCAGACTGGCACTGTATTGCCAAAGGATTTCATTCACGGTGGCAGTTCCCGAACTGCTTGGGTGCCGTTGACGGGAAGCATGTTGCTATTGTATGTCCACCAAAATCTGGCAGCAAATTCTTCAACTATAAGGTAAAAGCTCACCTGGATTCTCCCTGTGCATTCTCAACTAAATTTTTCATTTATGCTTGCACAAATACTGTAGCTGATAAGTGCAACATGAACATAGAAGAGCAGATCAGAAAACTGGAATCATCAGATTGGCAAAATTAGATATTGGTCTAGTTAGTTTTTGGATGATTCTAAACTGCAGTAAAATTACAGGGTTCACAAAGCCAGAGTAGACACATGGTGTGAAGCATACACAAGTGGTGTTGCGTCTTTAGTAACTTGGTGTACTGTACAATTTTAGTGCAGTAAATCACCAGACTGACTGCCTCCGTTTAAGCAAATAGTTGTTATATATGCCACACTTTTGAAGATACGTGAAACCTTAACATAGATAGTAATTATTGTACTGCTGTTATTCACTGTGGCTGTACAGATAGGTCATGATCTGGATTTTTTGTCGTGTTTATTGTTTCAGGGCACATTTTCCATAGTGCTGATGGCTGTGGTGGACAGCGATTGCAAATATGTGCTTGTGGACGTCGGTGCAGAAGGCCGCCAAAGCGATGGGGGAATATTCAAGGAATCATCCTTTGGTTGTGACCTCTCTAAAGGCCGCCTTGACATTCCAGCAGTTGGCACCCTACCAGGCACTTCCACATGTGTGCCTTATGCCTTTGTGGGAGACGAGGCATTCCAGCTTCGTAAGGACTTCATGAGGCCTTACCCCGCAAAATGCCTCAATGACACTATGAGGATTTTCAACTACAGGCTCAGCCGAGCAAGGTATTGGATTGTTTCTCTGATTCGTTAACCTCATGTCTTCATAGCCTTCATTCGCAAAAAGGCCCATCACGTGCGATTGAACACGATAGCTTAACCTGTGGATCTTAGTCAACCAAGGGCATTTGCAGAACTTTTCTGCTGTGGGAAGGAGTGCTGGTGCACCGAGTTACCACAAAATAGGCACTATTTTCTGTTAAAACTGCGCACATGAAATTAAGCTTTCAAACAGGGCAGTAGTAGCCAAGCTTTAGGAGATACTCTGCATTATCTTAGTGCTGAGAAGATTGTGTCCGTCAAAAATAAAGCGTTACGATCACTTCACGAAAAAAGCTCTTTGTGCAGGGTTGACTTGTGCTAAATGGTCACCAGCAAGTAGCACAATATGTTGGATACATCTACCTGCAGTTAGTCTTTGTATAGTAGGTGCACACACCATGTGTTTCAGTGAGAAAATTATATGATGAGACTTGTGATAAAGTCATTGCTGCATTTCATACATGACTTATGCTGTTCACACTCATCATAAATACTTGTGTAGTTACAGCATTTGAGGTTGATTCTATTGATGAAAGCTCCTCGAATGCTTTGACTACGGCCAGACATTGCTGAGCAAAGATCTTAATCAACTTGCATTTTGCAGACCACCTCATATTACCATGCAGTAGGTTGGGCAGTCTGAGCGCACATCATGAAAAAGTGTTACTGTACATGTGATGACCTCCGCAATGTTTCACATTTCACGGAAAAATTGTAATCGTTGATCACACGATCAAATTTGTGGCTTAGACAGTGGAAAAGAGGTGCATTTGGAAACTCCTTCTGTATTATTCTATTCACTCCAGCATCTATTCCAGCCATTGTAGAGCATCTGTCGTACTACTATTATTTCACAAGGTTCAAAATAATCAGCCCAGCATCGGTTAAAAACTTCAAGGTTGTAGTGGTGATACAAGCAAAGTTCAGTAGTTAACATTTGAAAAAATAAAAGATGCAGAAATGGACAAAGAGTGCCTTTTGCTAACACTGAGTACACAAGCCAAAGTTCATAGTGCTACTGCCGTTGACAGTAATAAGCCCTCGTCTGGTGTTCCATCTTTCTCAGTCATACGTGATTGTGCCGACAACGGGTTAATGAAAATAAATTTGGTTGAACACTTGCTGTCTCTATATACTATTACAGTACAATACTCAAGTGCAGCAGCCTGTAACAGAATAGTGTAATGAAGGGACAGCTGGTACATCGTACTACAAGGAAACAGTGAACAAAGATAGCGACGGCGAAGGAACTCGGAACTTGGATTGTTCATTCCATCATCCCATTTTCGCACTGTTTTCTGACAGTGGGCTGTAAAAGATGGAGAAAGTATTGCACTAAATGGGAAATAGTCTTTCATCACATTGTGACAAATGGCTCATCTGTCACAACTACTCGGCATTACCACACCACTACTTTTTATCTTGCAAGCACTTTCCATTGCCTTGAAGGCACCATGGTGTGTCGCGTCTTCATTCGCTGTTGCAACATTTTTCTTTTTCGTCTGCAGACGCTGTGCAGAAAATGCCTTCGGCATCACTGCTGCCAGGTGGAGGATACTGCTTCGCACCATAAACGTGCAGCCCAGCCATGTGGACTTCGTGGTGAAGGCCGCTTGTGTCCTCCACAACTTCCTTACTCTGTACAACCCACATGCCCCTCAATTCTTGGACAGAGAAGACAGTTTCGGAAACGTTGTTGGAGGGCGCTGGCGGCATGGTGTGCAACATGTGCCAGACAACAGTTTCTTTGCCATGGCTCCAACACAGGCACGAAACTACGATGGTGATGCAGGTGCTGCAAGAAGGTTGTTCGCCAGCTACTTTTCTAGCACGGCTGGCCAGGTTCCTTGGCAGTGGAATCTACCAGGACTGACAAAGAAGCAGCCCTCCTAGACACTTGTTCTTCACTGCCAGTTCGGGCAAGGACGCACAGCTGCGTCATCACTCTCCTTTCTAGCATGGCACTGCTTGCCCATTCTTCAGTGTGACAGCTGCTCTTAAGGGGGTATGGTAGGGTGAACCCAGCAAAAAATTGAATTTGCAGTCTTGACACCAAAAAATTCACTGTACTCTGAGGAACGAAGCTGTTGAAGCCCGACGTTGAGAAGCAACTCCACGTGGTTTAAATTCCGCACCGTAGTGTGCCACGCAACCTCTGGCGTAAGCAGTATGTGGATGTAAAAATTAGTTTTTCTCAAAGTGCGTTTTCTGTAAGTTTTTCAACTTCAACCTACCTTTTCTCAAAATGTACTGAATTGATTTTTATAAAACTTTGTATGCATGAGCTACAACAAGTAAGCAAATATGGTTACATTCCTTTTGCTGTTGCAGAGAAAAGGTACCAAACTTTTTTCTCTGTGGAACTCAAACTCGATTTCTCAATTTTTCTCAATTTCACTCACTCAGACTTGCCAAAATACTTCACTTACTTTGGCTCAGACTCGCGGCTTGATGCCAATGTGAGTGTGAGGGTTCTCTCATGAGTGACTTTGCCTACCTATTATTTGACTCCTCACGCAAATCAGCTTTTCACTTTTCTTGTTTTCTGTGCTCCCTGGCTCATCTTGTCATACCTTCTATTCTCCTCAAATTTGAATGTGTTCTTGTAAATTATTCTTCTGTGAAAAATAAATTTTTATTTTACTAAGTCCACATGTTGTGAATTAAAGCGGTGTCATTTTGACACAAACTGGGGCAATGTAACATTTTCAGTGACTCTGCAATGGTCTTGTGCCTTTGCAAAACCGTATGTTTAGCGAGTGCTACGAACTTCAATCGGACAGAGCACACAAGCTACCAAGTGGATGCTCAATGTTACAGGGGGGGGGGGGGGGGGCAGTGACAAGTTATACGATCACTGGGACCATAACATATTCATTGAATACTTTAACTGCCATTGAATACTTTGACTGCATAGAAAGCCGTGGCTACCGCAGTACATAAGCATCTTTCTACAAGACATAGCAGCGCCGCTGTGTGTCATGAAACAGTGCATCGGCTGTTGCTCAATCGATCCACCATATTGTACACTCAGGGGAATAAAAAAAAGGATCCCTGTCAACTACACTTGTACGGCAATCAATGAATTTGTTGGTGTGATTGATGAAACAAATATCGGTCAGCTTCTTGTGTTTAACCCTCTCATTCCTCTGTGCTACGACACAAATATAACCCAGCTTATTGGCAACCATAAAAACAATGTTAACGCTGTGTCAACTTCCTACTTTCTTAGGCCCTTGAGATACGGTGCACAATGAATGTACAGTATCCCAACAATAAGTTTATTCCTGTTGCCTTCTGGGTCAGCTTGTTGTGTTTAACTCTCTCATTCCTCTGCGCTGCGACACAAATGTAACCCAGCTTATTGGCAACCATAAAAACAATGTTAACGCTGTGTCAACTGCCTACTTTCTTAGGCCCTTGAGATACCGTGCACAATGAATGTACAGTATCCCAACAATAAGTTTATTCCTGTTGCCTTCTGCAACCATGCTCGGGTTTGACATTACCGACTTCTTCAAATGCTCAGTGACAGCAGTCACTGTATCAAGTGGATAACCTATATCTAAAAGACCATAACCTGTGCTCGTGAGGACCAACTTAAGGCAAGACATAGCTGAATCGTTTATAACCTCTAATTGCTTTGATGAGAAATTTAACACCGGTTTTAACTCCAGCTTACTTTAAAACCAAATTAAAATATATTAAGACTAATACATATGTCTAATAATCTACAAACATTTAGGTTTCAATATTTGTCTTTTAAAACCCAACTTGGACAATGTCTGGGATCGATGGGTTCGAACAATTATATTTATTCTCGTCTCATAAATAAATGCACTTCATCAGTACAATATCTATGGCGTGCAAATAAATCTGGCTCATACATATGGAAATGGCTAAGCCTTTACATTTACAGAGAACTTGTAATTGTCCTTTTGAAAGGGTATTGACAAAAAATTTTCACTTTGTTTTTTTTACAACCAAGGAAAGGCCAAGCACTCAGAAGCCTAGAAAATGTACCGCAATGCGCAAGTGTGCCCTGAAAAACTAATTATAGTGTTCTGAAAGCTAGTTTAAACTCCTAGTGTCCCCTGTCGTTGCAACAAAGTATGACCTTTTCGTTACGTGCTAGTACAAGATATGGTCACATTTCCACGAACCAAGCAGCCATCTCAGAAGTTCCAGTACCAGATATCATCACAACTAGCCAGAATGCAGCGTGAAGTCACCAAAATTAGTACTCAAGTCCCGACGTCAACTTAGTGTCGATGTTGTAAGGTGCCCTGCGAGAAATTTGATTTTAATGTTGAAATGAAATACCTTATCAGAATTTGCCGAGTGTTATACTTTCTCAGAGTCGTCTGTGTATACAGGAGATTAGTTAGTCAGACTAAACTCGCCTTAGAAATATGGTGTCGGTACCCCTTAAGGTATGCAGCAAAAGCAACTGTACTTTTCATTTACGTTAGTAACTTACGTGTTGCAAACATTTTGCATGAGTGAAGCCGCATTAGCAATGAAATGCAGGTGCACTGTGGCATAAATGCTTTGTGTCATACTGTATGTAGCTCATCACAATACAAGCATATAATTCAGGAATGACCATGTGAACAAAGCATACCTTGGTAATTATTACTGAAGTAACTTTTATTATAAAGGACAGACATCATCAAAATGACGTATATTCCCCAAATTCATTCTGTGCAACCCTGATAATATTTACAATACACAAATAAATATAAAAATAAGTCACAAGATTAATGACTAAATCACATATTTCATGACTAAATAAAGGGGCCATGTCACAATCACTCAAAAACTTCACTTTCAGTGAACACCAAAAGTAAAAGGTATATTATTCCCAGACTGGTTATAAAAAGCAAACCTTAAAATATTACAATAAAAGAAAACCTTGCCCACCCCCAGCGACTAGCCTTTTGCCATGACGAACGTGACAATGCACATTAAGGAGTGTAGCCGTTCTGTTATACCAAAGTTTCAGCTGCAGCAAGTATTCTAATTTCAGTGCCGAATGAAACAAGGCTAAAATAACAGGTTTCACATACAGTTGACGAAGAACTGCTCGCAGGAATGCAGATGCTCGAAAAGTTAGCTGCTTGTTACATAATTCCTCACGAGTGCTGCCCCACTGTCCAGCCACTTGTGTATTTATGAAACACTCAATTACAAAGTAAGTGTTCATGCAAATTCGCTACCATTCTGCCAGCTAATTTGTGAATGCGAAACGATTAACCGACAGAACATGTTCGAAAATTGGGTGTTATGACCCCTTCAAACACTCCCGCTTCCCCTGATCCTATAGGTATAAAGCAAAGTATCGGAGGTGTTTTTTTTTTTTTTTTAGTGACAAGACTTGGAGATTATTAGTCTGAATCACAAAGCAGATTTTTATAGGCATATGAGAGCATTGAAAGACAAGCCCTATTTTTGTAAAATTTTTTTGCAAGTCAAATTAATATTTAAAGTGTGCATTTTGTGTACCAAAGTGTACTAATGAAAAAAAAATGTTAGTGCTCCCTGAAGTAGCAAAAAATAAGTGTGCACTCAAATTCCACATTCTACAAATTCTAATCTTTTCAGGCACAGAAAAGAAGCTTTGCCCTGTGCAATGAACCAAAATAAATCTCTTCAAATGAATATTAAAAGCACAGTGATTAAACAGGTTTCAAGAAAATGAACAAAAACATTTTAAACAGGTGCGGCACCTACACAATCAGGAGCGCTAAGTCTTGCATATTTGTAACTAGTTACACTCAAGCAGCTGTTTGCCTTTTTTCTTTCTGTAGACATTATTTAAATGAGAGAGCAAATCTAATTGTTAACAGGCTGACATATGTGTCCTTGAGTGCGAACAATGCATGCACAATGCTGTGCATTAACCTGGTGAGAAGTGTATGGTTTTTATGACTAAAAATGTCAAGTTGACAATGCTAACAAAGCATTATTACATATTTGCACATTTAATATGAAGGCTAAAAGAGTCATAAAACGCTCGATCTAAAATGACAATGCGAAACCACCGACATCCACACACACTAACTAGGCGACGTCAGCATAAGTAGTTCTTTGCCTATCGAGGATTGCAAAACTCTTCGGTACTTGCGAGTGCATGCAATTCAAACACCTATCAGCGCCTTTGCCATAAGCAATAGGCACCAACTTGAACTCTGTAGCTGACGTCATATTAAGCAGCATTCTTGTGGGATGCCTCTTGCACGCGCTCACAGATGCCGTAGAGTTCTGCGTTTCTAGATAGTCAAAGCGTCTATGCAGGCTCATTCAGGCTGATGATATAGTTAGAGCATGTGGCTACTGATGGTGCCGCATTGTCGTTGTTAAGTGACCTTTTCACAACCTCTTTAAAGAGTAAACGAAATATCACATATCAAGCTAATCTTATGATGCACACAAAACAGGCACTTTCAGTTTTTTCTTCGCAACTGTTGGGTAGTGTAACATTTTTCCTTGCATCTTTGCAAAAAAACTGTTTAAAGAGAAAGTTCATGCAGCAAAATAATGAGTGATTCAGTTAACATGACAGAAAATGTAAAAAATGACATTTTAAAAAGAAATTTGCACTTGGCCCCGTACCTTAATAAAAAAAAATCACTTCAGCCATTGAAATAAAAAAGAAACTAGTCCACATACTCCATTACTAATTGCATGATCTTCACTTTCAGCTCTAACTGTCGCTTTTCTGGCATCTTCTCAAAGTATTTAGCAAGGCACAGCCCAAAATATTCATGTTCGTTTCTTGACTCAGTTTTCTTCAATGTCTCGCACAAGTCTTGCACATTTTGAGTAATTCTATCTAACTCTTCTTCATTCTTTTTTTTGCGACTTCTTCGCTGGGTTGGTGTTGACCCGGCACTTCCATCGGCGACAGCAGGCTCTGGTGCAGTCCTCTCTTGGGTGTTTGGGCAAACAACCCCTGGAGGCCTGAAAGCATCATCGTCTGAATGTGCAGAAGCTGGCAATCAGCTGGCAATTGTCACAGTAGGACTGTTTCACCGCTGCACGACGACGGCTCACAGATCACACCGTTGCATTCGTCGTATGCTTCTCGTTAACACTCACACCGGTGCTACAGTGCAATTCATTCACGTAAACACGCACATCGAAGCTTCAGTAGAATTCGTTCACGTAAACACGCACATCGGAGCTACAGCTGAATTCGTTGGTGTAAACACGCACGCCGGATCAATTCGTTGGTGTCAGTGGCATCATGCACTACAGCTCAACGGAGTTCGTACGCCGATGTAAACGATGATCACATGTCACTAGCTTGGCATCACACGCTACTGCAAAGGCATCAGACAAGCCTCAAGCACTCTTTCTATGTAATATTTTTTTCTTTTTTTAGCCAGCTGAGACGTAAACAACTTAACTTTCGTTGTCTGAGTTTGTCCCGTCAGCTTCCACCGAGGAATGCAAACGAAGCACACATCTTTTTCGGCATCCGGCTAGTGTCGATCATCCTGACTTCTATCATCGGAAGCATCTTACCACCACAGCCCACTGACTTCGAGCACAACGTATGGAGATGAAAGCACAGGCGCAGTACAATCGCCGATACGATGTTTTCACACGGCCAACGACCACACTGAAACTGGCAGGCACTCGCTAGC